AAAGAAAAGAGAAGAGTGGGTAGAGAAGCAATGTAGCCCATTAAGTAAGGAAGCTTCAGCAGCAGTACTGAAGATTCCTCCAGCTCAGTGAGACGCAAGGTTCGACTTCTTCTTCGTTGGCTTCTCCTCGAAATGGGTGAGGAATGTTGTCTAATTTCGTTGTCCAAATGGATTTTCTGTTCTAGGGCTCCCTGTGGCGGCTGGGCACTGTTCTTCTATTTATATCGCATTCTTAAAAATTAGGGCACCACCAGGAGGCTGTACGGACACGGTAAAACTGGTGCAAATAAATTACTGCACAGTCACACGCTCTAGAGCATCCTGAGCAGCTTCCGGCTCCAACATAAGTGCATCTTTCTGCCATGCTCCAGCAACAATTTCACAGCCTTGGAAGCACTTGGCTTGCCCTCAACAAATTCTCTAATTCTTATACAAAACAACCATAATTAAGCATAATTCATTCAAAATGAGGGAATTGAGAATTCTAACAGCTTGGGGACTTAACTGAATGATTTCTTTTTTTTTCATGGTCTTTTGATTAGGACTCTCATATTTACACACCAAAATTGCATGGTCTTTTGATTAGGACTTTCATATTTACACACCAAAATTGCCCAAATTATACCACAAAACACTCTCTTTTAGAGAGTTATTAGTTAGCTTCTAAGAGGGCTTCCGATAGCGCTCCAACGGCTCTCTGACCTCAGGGAAATGCGGCGCTTTGTTGGAGAACATGTTCACGTTATCCTTGCATCTATAGGTGCTCTTCATGGTCGGCTCGTACCTGGTAAAGGTCTACTAGATAGTGGAATGTGGCTCAGCTCGACTTCCACCATTGAGTTGCTTGGACTTGTGTAAAAGAAAGGATTCATTTGACTCTTCTAATCATCATGGTGATCGAGGATCTCTGATGTCGATATGTGACATGTGATAATTCCATCCAACAATATTGATTTATATTATCCCCTACAACATTCTAACAACATTGATGTTATACCACACATAATGAGAACATAAAACTACTTTCGTAATACACACAAAATATATTGTTGTTGATGTAGAAATTTGGCTTGACCTATTAACCAAATATTTCACCACAAGGACTCGAAGTTGACCTGCAAAACAAAGAACATTATACACTGGTGTAGTGCTAGCCACACACTCTCCGATGTTTAAGTTAGAATTGGAGGTTGAAAGTTGAATATAGTTAAGACTAAAGTTACTGTGCGTAACCTTACAATTGAGCTTTTCCTCCTATTTATAGAAGTTGAATCCTTGTATTCCTAGGAAACCTATCCCTTTGTGCTTCCATACCTTGTTGTGGGTCGGATATCACATTGAAGGGTCTTTGGCTTGTTGTGTGGAGCTTTATCAAGCCACCTATGGTCGGTCCCATTTTTAAGAGCGTTAGACGGTCACCATCATAGATCTTAGCCGGTAGCCAAGAACTAGTCGGCGCCAACCCATGGTCATTGTTCGGGTGGCCCACCTTCTGTGAGTCAGGTCTATGCACTCCGGCGAAGGTTCTGGGTTTGGGCTTCTCTCATCTTGGACCCATTTTGGATTTCTTACCTAGCTTCATCATGTTTGACTTTAATTATCTATCCATGACAATTGTCTCCACTCATTAGGTAGGGATTTCATTAGAAATGTGTTCCCTACCTTGAGAATATATTTATCCTAATGGGCTTCAAGTGTAGATTTCTCAAAGTTGTAGCAAGAAGTTCGAGTAGATTGGCAAGAAGATCCAAAAATGTTTCTTAAAGAAAAGAAGAAGTTAATAATTACGAGATTCATGGCTGACCATATCATCTTTTCTTATTCTGTCAGTCTGGTCCATGCTTCAAATTAGTGGTTCGCCGGTGTGGACCACTAGTTCGAGAACTTCTTGGTCCGAGAACTTTTTTTTTTTTTTTTTTGCTTTCCTTGGCCTATATAAGGCATCTTCCATCTTTCTTGTTTACAAACATTGGTTTAGTCATTTTTCTTTGCTTCATCATTCTTATTTCTTCCATAAGAAAATGTGTTTTTTCCACTCTCTTTCTTTAGTTCTATGAACTGGGATTATAGTCACTTTCATGTTGGATGGACCACCTCAGATGATGAGGCTTCTTCTGATCCATCCTCTGAGTCCGGCACACACCAACTTGCTTGGTTCGATCGTTCTGTCGTAACCGATGATGACTTGCATCAACTTAGTAAAAAGTATGGTATTCTGAAAACAGTCAGTCTTAGGGTTCCTCAACCCGGTGAAAGTATCGATAGGCCTCTTTTGGGAGAAGTTGTATCTTATTTAGCCATGTTTAGATTTTGTGTTCGCTTGTGATGTGATCATAATTGGCCAAGAACTCCAAGAATCAAACTACATCAACAAGGAGGAGGATCAAAGGGACAGACTGATAACTCACCAAAAGAGAGTTATTTGTGTATAAATTTCATATAAGATAGCTAAAGATAGTCTCATCTGCACCCCGTATTCACTGAGTTTGTGCTTAAAAGATCACAGAAATTAGATTCTTCCTTTATAATGCTACCATGTGTAAATGATCTAATTTTGAGTATTTTGCTGCAGCTTTGTTGCCCTAAAATCAAAAGAGGTATAAAAGCTTGCATTTGAGGGGTGCCTCCAACATTCCCCATCCCATCACTTCACTCTCACTTGAAGAAAGCTCCCAAGAAACCGTTAAAGAAGACAACAAAGAGAGAAAGACTGCTGTTATTCTTCATTTTCTTCTTCTTTTGCACTCTTTAGTGCACGGGTTGTGCATTTTCTTCTT